TGTTCTCTAAGAACTTTCAAATAAGATGCTAAATTTTACAGATTTATTTAATGTCCTTCATGTATTTCTCTGGTGACTAATGGCAAATAATAAGAGAAGGTAAGTCATCAGCAATTAAGTTTGCTATCTGGTTACCTATCTACTAATGGGTTAATAAGCTCTACCTAACTGTGGAAACACATTCCCAGTAATTAAAATCCATTAGGTTTTCTGGCTCTTACCTAAAACCCCAAAACAAAACAAACAAAAATAAAGGAAAATGTTGTCTTGTGCTAGAATTAGATACGATGTTTTTCTTTTATTGCCTAATATTTTCATTAATTCAGCCAACATTTGAACACTGACACATGCTAGTTTAGGTAGTGGTGATGAAAAAGAAAAATGATATAAAAAAAGAAATAACATGAATCCTCATTTTAATGAGTTTCTAATCCAGTTGGTAGGAAGCAATTACACAATGGGCCATATACTGTGGCAAGGTGAGCCAGGGACATGCGTAGGACGGGCATCTAAGTCTGATGAGAGATGATCCAAAATGCCTTGGGACATCACATAGGATGAAAGGATAAACAGAGTTAGGTCAAGAAAGGAGACAGGGATATTCAAGGAGAGGAATGAACACATACAAAGTTGCAAAGAATTGAAAACAGCATAAAATGTTCAGGACACTGTTTGAGGTACAACAGGAGAAAAGGGGTATTATGGGAAGATGACTCATCATGAAGCACGTAGAGGGGGCAGAAATCAGACCACAAAACTTGGAGCAGGCTAACATGTTTACATTTTATTAGGAAATTTATAGGGGGCCCTGTCATTTAGAATACTGTTTGCTGCAAGCATCAGAACATCTTATGGTAAGCAGCTTAAAAATAAAGAAATGCACTGGTTTGTATAACTGACATCCCAGGATGGCATTGGATTTAGAATTAGCTAAATCAAGGAGCTTCCTGTGACTTCCTGAAGATTTCTTTTCCCTGTATTCTGTTCAGTCTCAGACTTTGGAAATGCCCCAGCAGAGCAAAAACTCTCAGTCCTTGAACTCCCATGTGTACACTACAAGGTCCAGGGAAAGAAAAGAAGTTTCTATCCTAGCATTTGAGCAAGCGTTCCAATAATAACCCAGATTGAAACTTTTTGGGTCACTTGTTCACCCTTAAACCAACCTGATTCCCCCAGGGAGTGGGGAAATTTCTCATGAGGCACAAATGTCAAATTCTCAAAACTTGCACATTTCCCATTAAAAAATGATGCATTATAGTTGTACATACTGATAAGGTTTGTTATATATTTGCACATGCACACAAAATACAATATGATAATATAATTTGGCCAATATCACTTTCCATCACTTTTTCCCTCCCTCCCTACCTCTTAACCCTTGGTCTTTTTCCTCTACTGATCTCCCTTTGATTTTTAGGAGATACTCCCTACTTTTCTTTTCCTTTTTCCTCTCTAGCTTCTGTGTGTGTGAGAGAGAACATACAACCCTTAACTTTCTGAGTTTGACTTATTTCACTCTTGTTTCATCTATTTTCTTGTAAATGACAAGAATTCATTTTTCTTTATGAATGAAAAAAAATCCATTGTGTATCTATACCACGTTTTATTTATCCATTCATCTGTTGATGGACACCTAGGCTGGTGTCCAAATGAATTGTGAACTGTGCAGCAATAAACATGTGTATGCATGTATCACTGTAGTGTGATGACTTTGATTCTTCAGGATAAATACCAGCAAGTCATATAGCTGGGTCATATGGTGATTCCATGCCAATTCTTTACATTTTAATAAAAAGCTCAACTAATTCTCTCCTAAAGGAAGGCTTTACTTCTTTCTACATAACTTTTCTTCTTTTGCACATAGCTCACTCATCTGATTATACATTAACTTCATTATCTTCTTCATTAGATTTCATATTCTTTAAGGATAATATTTGTGCTTTTTTTCTTGGCTATCCTAATATACCTTCTACTGCTTGCAGGACCAGAAGTTCAGTGAATATTCTATCTATAAGATATGCTTTCCAAATTAAGTTAGAAAAAGTGCTTTCATCATAGTCATTTTATTTAAATAAATGAGGAAAACTGTGTCTTGTCTAAAAGTTATTGGGGTCCACTGACGATGTTCTTTCTATAGAGATCATCTCCATTCCCTATCTCGATTAATGTTTTAAACTATGGAGTTGAGAATTTGCTTATAAAATTTGTAGACAATTCTTAATTTGCAGGGGTAACAGATACTTGGCTAGATGCAACCTGGTCTTAATAATTTAGAAAAATTACCCCCAAAATATCTAATGAAGTTTATTATGTTTATTTAGGCAGCTGAATTGCTGTGACCAAAAAACCTGACAAGAACAATTTAGAGGAGTAAACATTTATTTTGGGCTCACTATTTCAGAGTTTCAGTCTATGGTTGGCCAGTTCCATTGCTATGGACCTTAGGTAAGGCAGCATCCCATGGTAAAAGGGTCTGGTGAAGGAAAGCTGCTCAGCTCTTGGCTTCTTGGAGAGAGAAGGGAGGTGGAGGGGAGGAAGGAGAAATAATCCCAAAAGGCATGCAGCCAATGATTTATTTCCTTTAGGAATGTCCCACCTGCAGTTACCACCCAGTGATTCATTCAAATTGTTAATATATCAAAATGAATTAATCCACTGATGAGGTTACAGTTCTTATAATGTAAGCCTTTCACTTCTGAATATTCCTGCATTGCCACATGATCTTTTCAGGACCCATCTCATATCCAAACCATAACAATGCTTAAGTAAGTAAAAAACATGTTAAGGGTAAAAATCACAAGATTTTTGTGCAAATGTGACTAATATAATAAGTAGCAGAGTACAGAATCAATATGAGCAATATTTTTTTTCATCACTGGTTGTTTAAAAACAATACTTCTCTATATGCTATTACTTAGAGTTTTTAACAAAATAGATATTACTTTAGGATAATTTTTTTTTTGTAATACCAATTTTATCCCTCAGAGTTCAATAAATATACCTTGAGCTCTGAAAAGTCACATGTTCTAGGGCATGAGTTGATCACCCTTTAGTTGGATAGTTACCTATTAAATTAAACAGATTTTCCTTAGGTCACTATTCTATTTTCAAGTCACTGTTTATTATAGTTGTAAAAAAGAAATCATTGTTACTTAAAGAGAAACTGTGGCAAAATTTACCTCCTGGTCTTTTGAACCCCATAGAACATTTTATTTTATGTGCTTTGCATATGTTTAGATTTATACTTGCATTTTTTTTTTTCAAAATACCATCTTTTAAAGGTGGGGACTGTGGTTTAGTATCTTCTCTTCTCTTGTGTAAGACCAGTTTCTTTCACATAAAACCAAAAGCTGGATTAATGCATTTGGTTATCAAGACACAACACTATAATCCTGCTATTAACTAGTTATTTGATATTTGAAGTGTCAATCCCTCTGAACTTCAGTTTCTTCATATGTAAAATGAAGAGGTTCAACTAGCTGATTTTGAAGATCCTCCCACCTTTAAAATGCTATAGAGTGTATAATAGTAATAACCAGTCATTACTCATCCCATCAGCATAACAACACTAGGAGTGTATACAACATGTTTATATCTCAAGATACTTGGGTTTCATATGCTACTAATTATCCACATTCTACAAGGTTTGGATTCCACAGTTTTCTTTAGGCTCTTTTCATTAGGAAATTGCTGAGTTCTATTTGTTTAATCAGTACTGATACCTACTAATGGGTGCCCACTCTGAGAAAGGAATTTTTCTCTGCAGGTCAAGGTACTACAGAGATGTAATAACTTGTTTAAGATTTTTTTTTTTTTTTTTGGACTCTGGTATTTACATTACTTTGCCAGGTTTCATCAGAGACAGAGTCTGGTTTGGTGGGTGCAAGTAAAATAATTCAAATTGAAAGTTTTGTTTTCGATTCCTATTTCTTCTCCTGACTTTTGAAGCAAGTGACTCAGCACTTTTTCCCCAGTTTACTTAATTAGAAAAAAAAAAAAAAGAAGAAGAAAGAAAGGGAAAAAAAATGAGGGAGTTTACCAGTTACTGATGTATAGTGTATGTACTAAATATCAAATGTTATTAAGAGTTCACCATGGAGTAAATGTATTCTGAAATAATGTTTCCTCAATTTTTCAAACTCTATATTTTCTTTAGCTCTACATTCTGAAACAAAGCACACCTCTACCTTTTCCCTCACATACTTTGTGCTGAGTTGCACTTTGTCACAGAGGGGGAGGGTGTGACTGTAAAGTCATAATAGACAGGGGAGCCAACAAAAACCACTTAAGTAGGCCCCCACCTATACCATATGACCCAGCTTGGGATAAACTGCACTGAAGTATTCCACCTGGCATCTGTGCAAGTTTTGGGGTTGAATGAGTCTGCTTTTGTTTCACACTAAGCCCTTAAGAAAAGGGACTTGTTAGGGAGGAGGAGGGAAGGGAAGGCAGGAATGAGTTAAAGCCTCAGCATCTTTAGTTCTTTTTCTCTACTTCTTTCAAACAAGCACACCACATTGAATAGCGTGTGGAAAATTGGCATTTCCACTGAATAAAAACTAACTGGCAAAGAACAAAAGAGAAAGCAGAGGAATGCAGCTAGATGCTGTTTGGCTTGTCTTGTCAGAAAAAGGACACACAAGAATCCAATGGCTTACCATGGATTTTACCTCCACGTCTGGCTCCTGTTCAGATGTTTTTGGTTTTTTAGTGACTTTGTTTACTTGGCAAGATTTTTAAAAGTAGGATTCCTCTGTAAGTTAAGGATTTTTTTTAAAAAAGTGACTATAAAAGTAGTATGGGAGAACAACTGTTTAAATGTTCCACTTCAGAAAACCTGCTCACTTTTGGGGAAACACACGCATACCATATGCTCGCACGCACAGTTATTTAAAAAGCCAGAAAACCAATATAAATCTCCATGTAGTTTTGGACTTTGAAGGAGATTGCTAATCTGTTATTTTCAAAAGAGCATATCTTTTTATAAGAAAAATATATCATTTTCAACATTATAATGCTTTTATTCATACACAATAGTTTTGTCTCTCTTTACAACATACTGCTTAAAATCTTTGAAACTAAAATCTTACTTTATTCTAGTGTAAGTATTCACTGTGAACACACTGAACTGTGTGAAATGTTTAGTTTTAGCAAAACGCCAGAAGCCAAGCTCTCTGCTATTTCCCTTCAGAACAAAAAAACACCTGACACAAAACACAAATTATATTTTCATTCAAATCAATGACTCTCTGAACACAGAACAGAGAGCATTTGCTGTGCCAACTCTAACATGACTTGTGATTGAAGCAATTCATCAGGGGAAGGTATCTGGTGAGAGAACATATGTTCAGTAACAGATCAAATTTCATCTTTCATGGAAATTACTCTAGAAAATGTTTTGTGGCTTATGATTTAGTGACAAGGATGTCGAACAACTCTTCTCACATGTGAAGTAACACAGGATGGAGACCTTTCCAACAATACCAAGGTCATGAGTTTCCACTACTTTCATACTCTGACATTAGACTACAGTGGCTGTTCAAACAGTGTTTAGCTTTCAAAGAAATTGAACATTAGCTTTGGGGGACATATGTCATGAGGAAAGAAATTACTACAAATAATGCTATTCAGTAAGACCAACTTTATAATTGTATATAGAGTTATAGTATCTGAATGATAGGATTGGGCAGGAGACCAACATCACTTAATACACTGTATTACTTTATCCATGAGGAAACTTTGGTTCAAAGGTATCAAGGAACTACACAGCAAGTTATGGCCAGTTTTCCTGACCTCCCAAGCCCTATGCACATTATGTTCTAGCACATTTCATGTACTTCAGGCTAATGTGCTCATCTTTATTGCATGTTAGTGCCTCTGGCATCTAGAATTCCAAAGAATGAGGTATTTAGTTAGGGACTGGGGAGATCAGTGTGAGTATTATACCAAGTTTTCTTGGGAAATGGAGGCAGTACCTCTTCTGAGCCAGGAAACACCTGACAGCTCACTTCAAATAAGTACAGAGTAAAAAGAATATTCTTCTCTCCTTTGAACTGAATGAGAAACTCAATTCCTGAGAAAGAAATGAAAATCTTTCCTCCGGTGATTTTATCATTTTGATGAGTTTCTGCCAGGAGTTGACATTATCTTTCAGAAGACAAATATTCCTAAAAAAAACAAAAATAATAAAGGAAATTGCTGATATAGGGTTTTTTTCCCCCTGTGATCTCTTTTCCAATTGCACTTTTGTGCCTGCACACTTGCATATAAACTATGTTAGAGTACTTTGAATTATTTGGCCACAAGTGAAGAAGGCAAAGTTTAGAAATACTCATTAAATAAAAAGTCCCAACTATAATTGTTGCATTCTGAACTGGATTTACTCTGCAACTGTTTTGTTAGCTTTTGTTAGATAAAAAATTATGATTTTTAAGGCAGAGAATATTTATCAAACCCTGAAAGGTGAATAATAATTGACTGCAGCAGCAGGTTATTGAGAAAGTATTCAAAAACTATTTTGCATGGACCTCTAAATCATTCACCATGTGAATTGGTCCAATGTGTTCAGTTTTCACAGACCAGCTTAGCATCCCTGCCAAGTTAAAGTTGGCATCCTGAGGGCTTATTGAATCGTCTTGACTGAATGTTTTTGTTGTTGTTTAGAATTTTTCAAAGTAAGTTAGAATAATTATTCAAGATAGAAATGTACTTTCTCATGAAATTAAGTTTTTAATATGGTTTCTCTAAGAATAGTGCTCTATTTTGACACCTTATATTTCATTTTTATCTAAGCAACTATATAGCTATGCCTTGACACCCATATTATTGAAAACTTTTTCTGTCTTGCTCTGGCTCATACTAGTTAATTCTCAGCACTATAGAATAGGGTAATTCAACCCTCCCAGAAAGTAATACTGAAAGTATTATCTCTAATCAGATTGTTCTTGGAGCTCACCTTGAAAGGTTCTTTATCAAACCCAGTTAAAAAAGTTCCTACTTTCCCTTTGTTGTTTTACTAGTTTAATTTTTCATAAAAGTGTATTTTCATAATGTTAATATAATGAATTATGTCTTGGGTGGAAAATTGTGATTTACTTTTAGAAAATAAAACATGCGCAAATTGTGTAGTATTTACAAACTACAAATTTCCCATAACACACTGTATGTTCTTTAAGAATCATGAAGAAGGCTATCTCATTTTGCTCTAAACATGAAGAAGAAGTCAGATGGTATCTTCCACACTCTGCCTAGAAATCTCTTTAGCTACATCACATAGTTCATCAGGTACATTTTCCACTTTCTATATTAGTATAGGGAGCAGTGTTGCTAAGTTTCTGTCACTGCCTAAGGATGGCTTTCTCCCCGTCTCCAAAAATATTCCTTCTTTTGGTTCTTCCAGCAAACTCCACAATAGTGGTCAGGCTTTTACTGAAAGTCTCTTGAATGTCTCTTATGTTTTCTCCAAAGTCCTCTGCAGCTTCTCTCTACATGTTATTCCCAAAGTCTCTGATATATTTTGAAATTTGGTTGTGATAGTACCCCACTTGCAAGCACAAAAGTTTGTGTTATATATTACTGTGTAACAAATCACCTCAAAACTTAACAGTACCAAATAATGGCATTATCTCTTATAATTTCCTGGGCCACTCTAGATTCAGGTCCTTTGTAAGGTTAGATCCAGCTAGGAAAGCAACCATCTGAAGGTTTTTTGGGGGGCAGGAGTACCACTTTCATGGTGGCTCCATCCTTTAATGGTTGCTGGAATAAGTCTTCAGATCATCACCTCATCCATCTTTTTCCAGGCCTGCTCTCATGGGTTTGAAATGTTGGAAGACAAACCCCCCACATCCCCATCTTTCAGATCTTGTAAGTAGAGCAACTGAAAACTTCCTTTGTTCTAAGTAATGTTTAAAAGGATGTTTGCATAGCAAATAACCTTGGTAGATAGAGATAGTTTCCCCCCCCCACACACACACACCCCAGAGCAAAGGGCAAGGTTTATTTCTTTCACCTATTATATGATAAAGATAATGTATTCTTAAAGAAAAGATCAGGCAAGCTTATAGCCCATTATAAAAAATTGGACTCCCTAAACTTGAAGCTCACTTCTTTTAACACCACCCACTGCATGTGAAGTCATCCTTTGGCCAACTGTGCACTGACCTGTGGGAACTTGGTCTCAAAGAATTGGCACTTATTTTATGTTCTGGTTATTTCTATTGTTTTGAGCAATCAACTGCCCTTTAACTGACCCAATAGTCTCATGTCTTCTACTACTATCCATGAAACTGTGACAAGGTAACTTGTTTGTAAATAGGATAAAATCTCAGATCTCTTATAGTGCTTGACAGGCAGCTGGCTTTCCTCAGAGCGAGTGAAGGGCAAGGCAGATGACTTTTTGAACTAGCCAAGAAAGTCACAAATCATTTTCACAATATTCTATTGTTCAGCGTTGGGTCTATGTTGGAAGGGAATATACAAAGTTGGAAATCAGAAAAGTTCATTGAGAGGTGTCTTAAAATGTGATTACCACACCTCTGGTAAAAACTGTAAAACCCTGAGCTCAGATTGATTCTCTTCATGTTCCCTGCAAAACTCAAACTAGTGTCTTTATATAATATCTACTCAAAAGATATTATTTGTTGGATTTCTTTACTCCAAAAATATTACATGTGATTTAGGAGCTACATTTCTGCATTAACTACGATGAATAGACCTATGAACATAGAAAATATTTCTTAGTTTATCATTCATTACTTCATAAACAAAAGCCTCGAAATAGAATCAAAACTGATACACCAGCCTTGTGTAGACCTACTACAAAAAATATTACTGGCTAATTTTAGTTACCTATTTTTTTTTAATCAACATTTTCTGAACATTATAGAGCAAGACCAAAAAAAACCAAAAAAGACTTCTGTGAATTTATAAACAAAATTCAATATGAATTTTTCAAGAGTAGGGGAAGAAAGAACAAAATAGTCCGAGTCATTCAAATAACTTAATTAGAGATAAATCAGTAAAATCAGAGATTTTCTTTTAAATAAAAAAATTAAATTCATAATACATTTTTCTTTTAAATATTATAGAAGTAATAGTTTAACTAGGAAAAATGATTTGTGCTAATCTTTGAATTGCTCACAGTTATATTTATGGAATTATTTATTTATTTTTTTAGAAGAGCACTATAATTCCTGAAAGCAAGAAAATTGGGAGCATGTGAATGGAGAATGTGACACAAGGTCATATTTCCTTTAATGTAAATTTAACCTTGTATTTACAAGGAATTAAAAGGAAAAAAAAAACAACAAAAATGATTTTCATGACATAAGACCCTTAGCCATAAGTAAATTACTTCCTCTGATACCCAACCAAAGAAACAATAATCCATCCCTACTCCAGGGAAAAATAATTTACTATTGTGCACTTCTTGGGAGGGATCAATACTGAAACCATGTTTACTCTATTTCTTGAACAGTTTAAAGTACTTTCAAGGTTGATTTAGACATAAGCATTCCTTCCTCAATAAATACATTTAGAACCAAACCAAGGAGAATACCACAACTACATTGTGCAAAAACTGGGGAAAAAGAGATTTGAGTATGGTGATGTTTTCCCTCTAATCCAAACCGCCCTCTTCAAGTCCTGCTATATTTGGTTTATGAAATCAGTTCAGCTAATAGCATAGGTGTCTTTGAAACAGTGACTAAAATTCATCAAAAAAAAAAACCCTGCCATGATCTCGGTGGAAACAATTTCCAAATTCTTACGTAGTTATTATATTTCCTGGCCTGGGAGCATAATGAGGTTAAAGCATTAATTAGGAACACATTCCATTCCATCTTTTGCCTCCCATGGTTAGACTGTTTAATTAAAGGCCTTGAAGGCTTCTGGGCAAGTCAGCACATGGTGTGATCATCTGTCTCATACTCTCTTTGCTTTGTGCTTCTTCATCACTTGGAACGTAATTCGTTTATTCTGGGACTGTTTGGCACTCTTCGTTTTGCCAGCAGTAGACAAAAGAAGTGAGTAGTAGTTCTATTTTGTAGATTCTTGAAGACATTGATGTCTGATGGTTGCAGACAGTCATTCATTGCACAAATATCTGTTGAGCGAGTGCCAACCAAGGATCCTGAGAGTTGCTGGGTGCTTTGAAATAGCTGAAGAATCAGATATAGTTCCTTGTTTACATGAGAAGAAGTGTTCATGCAGGAAGGGGAGATGAGGCAGGGCCATACCACTCTACAAACAAAAGCAATAAACATTATGTCATGGTAAAATGTTTCAAGAGTTCAGACAGTGAAGAAATTATTTCTTTATAGAAGAAATTAAGATAAGACACATGGATGAAGTGGGATTTAGTTTCCACTGATAAGGAGTAACTAATGGGATGAGGGAGAACATGGGAAAAAGAGATCAAGTAGACAGGAGATTGAGACTCATCAAAGCAAACAGGAATAAAAGGGAATAAATTTTGAGGCAGGGTAAGGAAGTGAAGCTGGACTTCAAGTCTAAAGGTGACAGGGAATCACTAAAAGGTTTTTTTTTTTTTTTAGCGGGGGTTTTGATGTAGTCTGAAGTTTGCCTCAGGACAAGAGAGTTAAGGCAGTGAAAACATTTACCAGGTCAAATCATGCAGGGTTTTGTAAGGTGTTTCTAAGGGTTATGAGCTTTATTTCAAGACCAAAAAGAGTATATTAATAGAGGGTTTAAAATTAAGCAACTGGTTATTTAGCTTTGTACTTTAAATAGCTAATTCATTCTGTATTTCAGACTTTAGATTGGAAGAGGATACAGATGAGATAGCACTTAAATCGGACTATCTCTTGCAGCTCTGAGGATTTGTAGTACCCCTTTTTTACTTGATCATCTATTTTAGACAATGAGAACCTCTCTGGCTTAATCTGGTATTCACCTTCAAGGATTTTTTGATGCTTATGACTAGATAATGTCAAAAGAAATGTCTTTTGATTCAATGGAGTCAGCACAGTGGACCCACTTGCTATGTGTTTACCCACCACAGGGAGACAGGAGATTGGTGAGGAGGAATTAGAGAACATTATTGCTACTTAACATTGGAGTTGTAGATTTTTCTGAGTCACTTTAGCAGTGTGTATGTGTGTATCCAAAATGCAGGGGATATGGAACAAGTTCTCTGAAGCAATGAGATAGGGAAGTGAGCCTTTTTAGGAATAATTTTCAACAACATGTCTGAGCAGAAATGAGATGGAGTATACATGACTATTTCCCCACTTACTTTTTCCCTTTATAAATTTTATTTTTTAATTAAAATAACGATTGTACATATTTATGGGATAGGATAGGCTATTTCCATACCCTGATTTGATCATTACCCACTTACTTTCTTAACACCAGAGAGCAGGGTCTGCCATTATAACTCTGGCCCCTTTAAATGTTCAGTGGACAACATAATTTTTATGTCTTGCAGTTATAATAAAGATAGTTGAGCCAGTTGTAAGTAATTTATTCTGGTAAGTGATGATACCTCTTCCGGGAGAGATATGGCTATAATTTAAAGAAATTTCTCTGCCAGCCTCTTTTTAGGTTGTCGTATTGATTCTAGGCTGTTTCATGAATGGCATTGTTTTTGTTACTTGCTATTTATACTTGATCCCAAAGCTCTGCATAATGAAATTAAGAAAACATCTAGTATGTTTAGCATATGAAAATATATATTTGCTTTCCAAAAATGAATGACATGTGCATTTATGACACTTGGATTCAATGCAACAATTTATTTGTAAGAAATCTATTTTGCAAACTTAACTGTCTAGGCCCAGAGGCCAGTTATAATGTTATAGGTTGCATTCATTGAAAAAATTTTCATGTATCTGATGCTAAATAATCATACACCAAATCTCATAGAAAAATAATTTAACTTATAGTATAAAGTAAAAATGAAACTTTTGAAAAATATTTGTCTCTAATGATTACCTAATATTTATTAATTTATGTGTTCAAGAGGTATTTGTCTAGTGTCAAATGTAGTAGATCCCTATTCTGAAGAAATTTATAGTTTATAAAGAGGTGAATAAGCAGTATTTAGTTATTTCTTTTTTGAGGGCTGGGTACCTGGGATTGAACTCAGGGGTACTTGACCACCGAGCCACATCCCCAGCCATATTTTGTATTTTATCTCGAGACAGGTTTCTCACTGAGTTGCTTAGTGCCTTGACTTTGCTGAGCTTGGCTCTGAACTCACAATCCTCCTGTCTCAGCCTCCTGAACTGCTAAGATTACAGGCATGCACAACTGTGCCCTGCTTTTTAATTATTTCTTTTAAAATTAAAATGTGAGAAAAGGAATATATGGCAGATTTTTCTCCAGATTTTTAAATACATTTGAAGACACATTTTTTAAATTATCATTTGTTTCAGCTTTCAAATTTGGTTAAATTTTTCTTAGTTTAAAATTTAAAAATATTCTCATATATTTTTATAGTATACTATTATTTTAGTTTTACACTTATATAATTCAACTTTATAGAATTAACATGGCATTAAAAAGAATTTTTAAATGTTTAGAATTTTCTCTTAAAATATTAAAATACACAATATTTTTAATGGGAATTTTTACTATTATCATCTTAAATTAATTTTTATTAGTGTTCTTGGGAATTTTTCTAAACTTATATAGTCATTTTATAATCTGACTAACTATTTCAATGAAAATTCCATCAGGTTTTAATGATTTAAACTGGAATCAGCCTGGTCACCACCACAATTCCATTGACTATAGCATCAGGGGGCACTCAACAGAGTGGCTGGGCAACATTGTTGTCACACTCTCTTCCCTGCCTTGTGGATAGTCCAAATTGTTACCCAGCTCATCAAAACTGCTTTGTATTGATTTGAGAAATATTTATTGAGAAACTAGAGTTGGCCAGGCCCTATTTCAAGTTTGGCAGATATAGAAATGTCTGAACCAGACACTTTTTTTTTTTCCTAGTTGTGGCCAAAACAGCCATAATGTTAGGTAGCAACAAATACTATGAAGTACACCTGAAACACAATCAGAGGGGAAAGTGATGGAAAATGACCCATAGCCTTTTTAGGGCCTGAGAAGACTTTCCCAGGCTGAGGGCAGAGCACAGGCTGCAACTCTGCACAAAGAACCACAGCTTCTCCTTTGAGAAAGTAGGTGCTATCTGGTCAAATGTACCTTAAGAATCTCTTACCACATTTCCCCTATCTTCTCAGTTTTGTTGTTTCTCAGGGTAAGAAATAGTTTTCCTGTTAAGAATCTTCACTGTGTCTCTGTTTCCATTTTCTGCTCTCTCTTCAACAGTTTTACTCGAAGCATTTTCTCTCTCCTTCTCATTTTCTGTCCTCTCCATTGTCATTCACCTTTAAGCACTTAAACTTGTGGAAATCTCTCACATCTTAAAACAATAATTATGATAAATCCAGAAGACACTCCTTTGATCTTCTAATCTCCAAGCTCTTTATAAATAACTCTTCAGTCTTCTTCCCAGAAACTTCTTCTTTCTATCTGCACCCCACCCCCTGCCCCCAGCCTCCCAATCCACAATCCCTATTCCTATTACAACAGAAGACTCTACATTCAGGGAAGTCAACAGACACAGGGAGACAAGTATGAGAACTGCCACAAAAGGGCCATGCCATAGACACTAAAAGAAAGAGAGTTTTCTAAAGCATAAAATGATAAAAAAAAAAAAGTTTGATGCCTATACGTTCTTGTAAAATAAGAGCAGAAAAATTGTATCAGAGATCATAGTCAAAAAGAAAAATGTTACCATTCAGCAGGTTAGAGTTTGGTTTAACAAAGGCAAGTTTTACATGAATCCATAGGACAAGGTGACAGAAATGGAATGGAAATTATGATCGATAACATTGTGAACTGTTATTGGATCACTTCTGCCAGCCTCATTCAGATGACTAGAAGGCAGGTGAACTAGAAAATAGGTCTTTAACAGTGGTGGAAGAATGACCAAGGACCTGATGATCAAAAGTCACAAATGAGAGGAAAGAGTAATATGCTTGTGTGGGAGTGTTTTGCTTCCCTCCACATCCTGAGGGCCCCTGCCATCACTCCTACAGCAAAAGAGAGCTTATCAAGAGAAAGCACAGCTTCCATTGTTTGAATATTGTCTATTTCCTTTGAAACTTAAGTTGTAGTTTAATCCTCACTGTGAATAATTAAGAGGATAGAGACTTAATCCAACTCTTGTATCTAAAGGTGGGGACTTCGGAAGATTATTTGGATTAGATTGAGGTCATGAAGGTGGAACCTCCATGATGAATACTGGTGGTTTATAATAAGAGAGAGATCAGAAGGTGGACAAGCACACAAGCACATGTATGCACATGCATGTGCGCGTGCACACACACACCCACACACATACACCCACACACATGTTCCTTGTGTCTTGTCACATGATGCCACATGCCACCTCAGGCTTTTGCAAGCAAGAGAATCATCTCCAGATGCAGCCCATTGACCTTGGATCAGAACCATCAGTCAAAATAAACCTCTTTTCTTTGTATCTTACACAATCTGTGATGATGTTATTGGTAACAGAAATTGGACTAAGACAATAACAAATTTATTTAATTAAAGTCTCACATTATGTGGGAATCTTCAGAAATGAAGACAAAGACCCAGGGGAAACTATTTCGATGCTTAGGTTTGATAAAGAATGGACAGCTTTGTAGAAATGTGATTGGACAAAGAGATATGGTTGGATGGTAAGGGACTGTGCAGGGAAACCCAGAAATGTTCAGCTCTTCAGATTTTCCCTAACCTTTCTGGGTAGTATTCCTTGTTCCATGTATGAGGCATGACCTCCCTGGAGATGGGATCATATGATCTACTATCAGACAAGGCAGTGTCATGGTGTCACTTAAGAGGGCTGGGTCTAGAGTGTACTTGGATTTGAAGCCTAGCTCCATAGCTGATTGTTTTGTGACCTGGTACACATTGATTAGCCTCTCTGAGACTCAGTTTCCTTATCTGTAAGATAGGGATAATGATAATACTTGCATTACAGCACTAATAAGAGGATTATATTAGATAATATATCTAAAGGACCATCAATTGCATATGTCACATTGTAGTATCTTGATCATTATCATTATTGTTGATTATTATCTTTATCATTATTATTATCATTATGGTTCTTCAAATGAAGACTTTCGATGAATTTCTAATAAGTTCCGATGAATTTCTGATGATGCCAACGCTTGGGAACATCTTGTAAG